GCGGGGAAAGAGAAGGCTGGATTGTGCAGGTGAGATGGTCAGGGGATGCGGACGAGGGCCTTCAGGGAGAGGGAGAGATGGTAAGAAGGGACTACTGCCTGAAATTTAAGGACTGGACTGACATTGACCCGAGCTTCCCAATGAGGCCAGCTTCTGATTTCCCGGACCCCTTCCCCCCACACCCTTTATCCCTAGTAGAATTAACTACGTCATGAGTCTCGGTTGTGTGGGGTTGCATTTTAATAGAATGGGCAGATTTTATCTTTATGGGGCAAACAGAGCAGCAAGGTTGACGGGCAAGCGGGGAAACAGAAGGAACTCACTGGTGCCCCCCAGTGGTTCCAAATGGGGCCCTGCTACAGCCCTGGTTTTTAGAATAGACCAGGTGGGACGCTGGACCCGGTTTCCAGCATTGGTGCTCTATCTCATCCAATTTTTTTTGCAGCAATTTTCAAATAAAGACACAATAGGCGCCATGAGAATAGTAGGCCGATGGCGGGGGCTACGGGATGGAGGGAGACTCCACTGGTGCCCCCCGGTGTTTCTCCCCCCAATACCTGACCCTGCTACAAGGTAGGTAAGGAAGAGTAGATTGGATATGGGACGCTGGACCCGGTTTCCAGCAAAATGGCGTCACTCTCAACAATGTACTGTGTTGTTAAAGATGTATTTAAGGGACGCTGGACCCGGTTTCCAGCAGGTGTTGCTCCCCACCAATAGATGGAGCAGCCCGCCAGGCAACCCTCAATCCCGGTGGTTCTCTTACCACCACCAGGATAGAGGCATTGCAAAAGGGCCATTAATAAAAAAAAAAAAAAAAAAAAAAAAAAACCTTTTCGCACTTCCAGGCCCACATCCCACTCCGATCAGGAAGGCGCGCCGGGCGTGAGGTTGGGTGTCACAACCTCCTCTACTAGGATGTTACCTTCCTCGTAACACGACGCCATCGAACTTCTCACTCTTTCTTCCGATATTTCTGCTTCATTTGGAGCCAATGGTGGTGATCTCGCGCCTTCAAGTTGCTGTATGTGTTCCTCCATGATAATTTCTGGCGGTCCTTGATTCTCCATTCACCACCGTCACTTCGGTAATGCCTACTGGTGCAACTGTTGACGCCTTGCACCGAAGGCCGGGCGAAGAAGCTGGCCTGCAGGACCTTTCCGGTAGCCAAGATCTTGGTGCGAAAGTTGCCGCCGCGCAAGTCCCGTAAACGCGCTTACTCACATCAAAATCACCTCAGAGTCTTTCCCAAAAAGCGCCCACTCCAAGGGAACATAACCAGAAACTTACGCCTTTACTCTTACCCTACATCGTATCCCTGACGACGGTGAAACCGTGAAAAGCTATGGCTGCCCTCCGCATCCGGTTCCATGCAAAGCACTTTACCGCAGTGAAAACTGTGAAGCAGATGACGGCTAGTAACGAAGGCCCACACGACGCAGGCTCATTACCAGGCAGGCTGTCCGACGTAGAACCGCGAAACAGCCGGCTCTTCTGCGAGCGCTGATGCAGTTCCATCGGCCGGGCCCCCAATCTCCGCCAACTTGCAGCATTGCTTATTAGAGAATCGCTGTGTTTTCGCATTCTGCCTACGATGTCACTGAAGCCCTCAAATGTGGGGGCTCCCAGGATGGCGTGTGAGCACTTGTGACCTTATCTCGCACCTACTGGTACCCGATACCCAGCAGCTCTGGAACATCTATGCAGTGTCCATCCCAAGGTTGTTGACCCTGTTTCTCTTTTATTATTATTTTTTTTTTGAAAAGGGTGTCCGGTGCCGGCCTTGAGATATCATAAAACTAGCTGGCCCTAGGTAATTCAGTATTCTCCGGCCGGAGTTGCGGCATCCGGAGCCCCAGCTGCTGTTCTTGTAAGGGACGCGGGGGCTTCCCAGTTTTGTGCAATAAACTAAGACAAGCTTTGTTTTTTTTTAAAAAGAAAGAGAAGGGAAAACAAGAAGTCTATTATCCTATTTATCGGTTTTCTTACTGGACCTTGAACTCACATCTGCGCTTCAACACCTCAGGTCCTGGGTTGTACCAACTGAGATAGCCCTGTTTGTGTTTTGTCATCTGTTTCCATGTTCTATATTACATGGAGTACGATCTGAAGGCCGACACCCTTTCCGTAAAAACCCAAAGAGAATTGCATTCATCCAGCTCTATCCGGATTCGAAGTCCGGTCTGTATTTCAGCAGTCCACTGTATATCAACTCACTTAGAGCATCCTCTGCACTGCTGGAAGACTTTTTTTTTTTTTTTTTTTTTTTTTTTTTTTTTTTTTTTTTTTGCAAAAGCTGGAAGACTCTTGAACGCAGCCATCCTCCCAGTGCATTATTTTTTTAATGAGATGTCATCGGAAAGTGACTGGCCCCAGGCAATTCATGAATTCTGTTCATATCGTCCAATGCATCTGGCTTCGAACACCCGTGTGGGATTCAACAGTGTATGGCTGTACAAACTGAGCTAAGGCCGTTGGTATCTAGTGCATTATTTTGCGTGAGAAGTCTAAGGGCCTAAGGGCCTCGCCACACCACTGTGGAAACGAAAAAAGAGAGAATGCACACATATTCCTACAGAGAAGGGCAAGATATGTCCATTGCAATGAATAGCAAGGGATGCATCTGAGCTCTTCTGCCCAAAGATGCATTCGTTCTCTCTTTTTTGTTTTATTTTTAACCTATATTCTTCTCTCATCTATCTCATCTTCTTGCCAGTACTCATCGATCGCATCCTCTCGCTAGTCTATGTATAGTACGAGGGAACATCAACCAACCCGGATCTCTCCCTACCCTCTTCCCCCACATAACGCAGCCTAAAAATGAATGCATACAAGCCCTCTCGCTAGTCTATGTATAGTCCGAGGGGACATCCACCAACCCGGATCTCTCCCTACCTCTTCCCCCGAACATAACGCAGCCTAAAAATGAATGCATACAAGCTATATTTCCGGCCAGATACAGCCAAAATAAGGGTGCGTGGTGTTCGGGGGAAGACGGTAGCCCACGGTGTAGGTTGGCACCACAGCAGTGGTGCCAGAGCAATGCTGTACCAGTCCCACATCACGGTGCTCGTTTCGACACTGGTGTGGCGACGCCCTAAGGGCCTCGCCACACCACTGTAGAAAAGAGAAGAGTATCTTTTTTACTGTCAAATCTGGACAGGACGGCCTTTCAGGCCTTTTTTAATTTTATTGTCATTATAGAATTACGGGGAACCCGTAGCAGCCACATCCGTGCTCAAGCCTCCAACGAGGGAACATGCGGGAGCTGCACCCACCAGCTACAGCAGGTGGGCGATACCGGCCAGGGGTCAGCCGGTAGCATCAGGACCGAGCTTCTCCGATGGGCCAGTCACTGTGTCTCCCCTCCGGTCCCCTCCCCCTATGAACATCAGCAGTCTCTGCTCAATGCCACTCGGGGGACCAACGGCACCAAGCTTGCCCAGGAAGGTACATGAGACCAATGGGGATTGAACCCAACACCTCCTGAATGCCACTTGCGTGCCTTACCAACTGAGCTAGGCCGCTGGATACCAAGCGTATCTTCCCCAGAAAGTGATCAGATGCATCTGTTACACATAATAGTAATAATGGATGTATCTGGCTACTCATTGCAGGAACATGCAGTCGTACTTTTCTCGTTTAGACACTGGTGTGGCGATCACTTTGGGAATCAGAGAGTTGGGCTAATAAGCAAATTTTGCTGGGATTAGAATAAGGGGGCAAATGCAGAAGCCCACCCCCCGTCACCGGGATGAGGGACTGGTACAGCCTTGCTCTCGCACCACTGCTGTGGTGCCAACCTACCCCGTGGGCTGGGGAGAGATCCGGGTTGATTGGTGTTTCCCCGTACTACACATACACTGAAAAAAAAAAAAAAAAAAAAAAAAAAAAGGTGGTGTGGCGACGCCCTAACAGTTTTTCCGTCCCTTTTGTCCCCACCAGTCCGGTGGGCGGGGTCCGGCAGATGGGACACAAATCCTTTACAAGGTGGAAAACAGAGACGTACCAAGCGTGATGCATGCATAAAGAGCATCATGAAAAAAGAAAAAAAAAAGAAAAAGGAAAACACAGAAGTACCAAGCGGCATAGCTCAGGTGGTTCACCCCCACCCCCAAACTGCGGAAATATAGACAGGACTGAGTGGGGAGGGACACTGGACCCGGTTTCCAGGAGCCTAATCTGGGTAATGGCCCCAGAACTTTACGGGATTTTGTGGGGTTTCCCGGCCCCTTTGTTGTCTTGTTGTTCCTCATGTAATAAAAGTTTTATTGTTCTCCAAAAAGAAAAAAGAAAAAAAGAAATATACACAGGGGTTCAAGCTCGACTGGACGCAGATAAGCAGAATACTACAATCCAGGGCCGAGGTCCCACTAGCAAAACGGATAGGATCGAGCTGCTGAATCTGGATGTGTTTTAAGCAGAGATGCAGAAAAGCAGTTCCATCTCGATTTCCTGCACATCTCTCCGATTCTCTTTGCTAGTGGGACCACGGCCCAGGGGGCCGTCAGTTTAGTTCGATGACGACGATTCCTCAAGGCCGTCGCGTTGAACAAGAAAAAAAGAAAGAAAAAGAAAATAACAGAAAAGTCGTGTGTGATCGGTGTTCGTTCCACCTTGACGCCAGGACGACTCCACGTAGGCACGTCACACCACAGTAGTATTACGTGAGCGGCACTGGGCGGGGTCCGACTTATTACGTGAGCGGCACTGGCGGGGTCCGACGAGACGACAAAGGGGAAGGGAAAGAAAAACAACGCGCCCAAACGAGTTCTGCATGTACCGGGGACAGTTTATACGTCCATATGCATGAAAATAATCCTACTGCTACGGTTGTGTGTTCGTAGCGGTGTTCTGTTGTTCCTTTTTTTTCTTTTCTTTGTTTTTTTTCCCACGACTGTCGTCCTCGCGCCGTGTAGAGACGGTGCAGAGATTTGTTGTCCCTTCCCTTGACACGTCCTAATCGCACGAATTTGCGAGTTGTATTTTACGCGCGCACGGCAGTCTCAAGGACGAGCACGCCGACAGCATTCTCCCGCGCACAGCGCCATCTTCTCTTCACTCTTCATGTCCTCAGGATTCTCCGACGAACACCACCACCATGAGTATTCCCCTCTCTGCGGTGTTATCTGAGGTACTTCAAACGTTGTGCGGTACTTGGCTGAGACAGCGGCCGCTTCGCTTCACCGTCCGTCTTTGTTCGGCTTGTCAACCATAGTCAGTGCGTTGTTGCTGTGTGCGCTGTCTAGGTTGCTCGGCGATGCACATGTCGGCGGGATCGGGTTAGTCTTAGTTTTCAGGTCTGTTTTTTCTCTGACTGCCACTCCTCTCTCTCTCTCTCTGTCTTTCCTCACAGCCACTCCTCTCTATGCCTCTCCCTGCTCTCTTCACGCTCCACCAACGCATGCTTTCGGTCCTCCAGCTCTCCACCATCTTCGTACTCTCTCTCTCTCTCTCTCTCTCTCTCTCTCTCTCTCTCTCTCTCTCTCTCTCTCTCTCTCTCTTCCCCGGAATCGACAGAGGAGCTCGGAATCAACGAGGGTCCGAGTTTCCTCTCCTCTTTCTGCACGTGCGGACCCGAGCGTGCCAGCTTTGGTGCGCGGGCTCTCGGTACCTTTCGGGCTAATGGCGCAGACGTAAGGTGAGTTTTGACCTACCCAGCAGTGTGACCGAAGGAACCGGAGAGAGAGAGAGAGAGAGAGAGAGAGAGAGAGAGAGAGAGAGAGAGAGAGAGAGAGAGAGAGAGAGAGAGAGACAGACACAGAGAGAGAGAGAGAGACAGACACACACACACACACACACACAGAGAGAGAGAGAGAGAGAGAGCTGTCTCTTATACACATCTAGATGTGTATAAGAGACAGCTCTGGCCATGGGACTGGCGGGCCATCCTAACGGGCTATTGGCCAGGACGGCCCGAAGAGGAATTTGCGAATAACATGTTTGACCTGGGGAGACGAACAATCTTATGGACACTGTGGTGNAGAGAGAGAGAGAGAGAGAGAGAGAGAGAGAGAGAGAGAGAGAGAGAGAGAGAGAGAGAGAGAGTCAGTCCGGATGAAGAGATTGGCATCCGCTAGACAGGCGTGTGGTACATCAGAATCGTTATCTGGAGCATCGGGCTCATTTGGTAGAAAGGCGAGTTCGTCACCGGGATCAGTGAGTGGAGCAGTCGCAGGTTCATCGCCGATTAAGCTGGGTTCGATCTCACGATCATTCCCTGGATCAGCGAGTGCATCGTCCGGAAGGCATCACCGGCGCTCACAGCCAGCGCGACATCGTCAACTTAATCTTCAGAACCAGCAGCAACAGCAGCAGCTCCAACAGCAGCAGAAGCAGCAGCAGCAGCTGCCTCTAACTGGGCCCGGGCGGCATTCTTTGTCAAGCTCATCATCAGCTATGGCGTCCGGCGGATGTGTTCTTCCTGCGACTCGCGCTACGGCTATGGAAGACTCGAAGCTTCTGGATCATGGACGCTCTTCAGCTGCTGCTGCTGCTGTCGGTCGCCCTTTTGTTGTCGGCAATCATTCCGCTCCCGTGGACAAGTGGGCTAGTCGACGAAAGGCAAGTTTCACGGGGATTGCCGATATCCCGGAGACCTGGCACGGCGAGAGGCACTTACGCTCGATAGTTGATTGGTCTGACTTGGATTCAGCCCTCGGACCGCATGGTCTTCTCTCTGCCCGGGATGCACTGATTAGAGAGCAGAGAAGCCCTCAGCCTTTTTCTCAACGCTGGTCCAATCTTATGCAATAAGCAGTAAGAAGAAGTGATGGCTGTGAGAGTGATGGCTGTGAGAGTGATGGCTGTGAGCAGATGGATCACGTGGCTGGCCTTTTACAGTTAACAAGGTAGTACTCGTGAATCATGATTACCTGTGGAGGCTGTCGTTTGACCACGTGTCTCTCCTCTGTGTCTCCAATCAAGTTGATTGGTTGCGATTGGGCTAGATATATTGCAATTCAGTGGGCTCACTCATCGCATCTCGTCTAGTCTCGTCTCGTCTGCTCTCCTCTGCTCTCCTGCCATGCCTTTCCCCTCCCTCCCCCTGCGCAGCCCATGCATCGCTGTGTACGCCGCATCTGCTGACGTCCTCGATTAATGAGCATGATGACATCCGTTGTTAATGTGCACGACGTTATGCCCATTTAGATTTGATGGCAGTGAACGGAAGATGATGAGAGGGCAGTTCGGTTCTTGATAGACAGAGGGGATGCTACAGTCTTCCACCGAATAGAACGTAGGGAGATTGCAGTCGTATTTGTGGCAACATTCGGTCTAGATACAGGGATCATAATGCCCGTTCGTTCTATTCGGCTGTATAGACGATAGGGATGATGGGAGGGTGTGCTGCGAGGTTGTTTATCTTTTTTTTTTGGGGGGGGTGAAGGAAAGAGGGGCAAAATTGACCCAGGTAGGGAGGAACAAGGAAGGTACAATAAGGAGACGCGAGTGCCTATGTGTGACAGACACGGTGTGACAGACACTGTGTGACAGTCACGGTTGCCAAGTATTAACAACGTAGCCACCTGTCGAGTCTGCAGCATGTCATGGTATCGAGGTCGAGGGAATGACAGTCACGGTTGCCAAGTATTAACAACGTAGCCACCTGTCGAGTCTGCAGCATGTCATGGTATCGAGGTCGAGGGAATGGGGGAGAGAGAGAGAGAGAGAGAGAGAGAGAGAGAGAGAGAGAGAGAGAGAGAGAGAGAGAGAGAGAGAGAGAGGCAGATGAAATGGGGGGAAGGCGAAGCATTGCCAGCTGCTTCACCGCCTCTATGGATGGCCTATGGAAGAATCTGTGAAGATTCTGAGGTTTGTAACCTCAGGTCCTCAGATCATGTGTGAAGAATCTGTGAAGATTCTGAGGTGTGGAATTTTTTGAGGTTAGGGAGAGCTGCCGGTGTTTGTAAATCATGTTGAAGATTCTTAGAATCTTGTCTGAAGATTCTGAAGATTCTGTGGTGGGGAATTCTTTGAACTTTGACGAGTTTTGGAGCGCGTTTGGAGGATCGTTAGCGTCTTGGTGTCGTGTTGTGGACGTTGGACGAGCTAGGCCAGCTGTGATTAACAACGTAGCCACCTGTCGAGTCTGAGCTGGAAATGCATGCAAGTGTCTGTGATTATCGACGTCAACCTTATTTGCCAGCCAGCTCAGCTCAGCTCAGCGCAGCTCAGCTCAGCTACGCTCAGCTCAGCCACAGCTCAGCTACGCTCAGCTCAGCCAGGGTGCTGCGGCTTAGGGAGAGCTGCAAGAGCTGCAAGTCTGTGCGAGAGCATGCCGGATCTCTACTGATTTCCACACGCCACTGCCGGTGTTGCGCGGCGCTATGTCTCACTGAAAATCGAATTCAAATCAGTTCAGTCCAATCCTATTCAATACAATTCCATTCGATTCGATTCAATTGAAGTTAATGGATTTCACTAAACTGAGCTCATCTTAACCCCCCTCCCCCCCTTCAGACCAACCGTAACTAAACTCACCTGCAAAACTGGCGCAACTCAAACCAAATTACTTAGACTGTCAGTTGTTCCATAGTGCTTTCGAATCGACCGATGCTCGTGTATGGATGCACAGAGGAGAGGACTAACGAGATTGGGTTGCTTCGATCTCATCAGCTATAATTACGATGGGTCTATTACTACACTGTACATATCGTCTCGCTCCGAGGAGACGAGAGAGAGAGAGAGAGAGAGAGAGAGAGAGAGAGAGAGAGAGAGAGAGAGAGAGAGAGAGAGAGGGTGAAACTTTGGCCGAAAATTGGCGGTGGTCGCTGGAGCTTCGCTGAATTCGTGAAGACCTGGAAAAGAAAAAACACAGTCTCACATGCACATAAGCTCTGGACTATCAAGACGGCTTTTTTTGTATTTGTGTTAACGCTACTTTGCTAAAGGAGATTCCGTGGAGGCACAGAGAGAGACAAACACACCCACCCACCCACCCACCCACCCACCCCCCCACACACACACACACACACACACACACACACACACACACACACACAGATGCACGCTTTGCAACGGGAGAGACGAAAATAAAGGAGGGGGATTTTGAACCTGTTTGCGGAATAGGGCGCGCTTGTGCTTGTCGGTCGGGCATATTACATTTTCATGTGCGTTCGTCCTCCTGCTGCTGCTCCTCCTGCTGCTGCTCCTCCTCCTCCTCCTCCTCCTCCTCCTCCTCGCCACCGCCGCCTCTTCCGCCTCTTCTCCGTTCCTCTCGGCGACTCTAATCGACCAGTCCCCCATCTCCCTGTTGTTATGGTTTGGCAAGTCTTATATCTGCTGAGATGTCGAATGTCACGAAAAGCTCATCTTGAAGGCGTTTCGGATATCTTCCATCGTTTTCTCTTTTGTCTTCCCTCGACTCGATTCTTTTGCAATCGCTGCGAGCTGCATCTGATCATACATGAGAAACGAAAAACGGAAGTGGAGAATCCGATTGACTGGGGCTGCATTGAAATTGTCGCCGACGGAGCTCCAAGAGGAAAGAGCCAGAGAGAAATGTCTTGTGCGCAGCTGCAAGGGAGTAGAGTCACAGAGTCCAATCGACTGGGGCTGCAGTGAAATTGTCGCCGACGGAGCTCCAAGAGGAAAGAGCTAGAGAGAAGTGTCTTGTGCGCAGCTGCAAGGGAGTAGACTCGGTAGAGCGGCTAGAGCCACAGAGAAATCATCTTCTACGGATGTCCAAGAGAGAGAAATGACAGAGAGAAAGACTTGCCCCCAATGCCGCCCATAACTTGCCGCCATAACTCGATGGCAGAGACCTTCAGAATGTTCAGCTTGGCAACTTAGGAAGCTGATAGCCAGTGATAGGCACTCTGCTGAGTCTGCTCCAATTATCCAATACGGTTTTCGTTCTACTCTTAACTTGTCCAATACGGTTTTCGTTCTCCTCTTAACTTCGCGAAAAGGAGTAGAGCCCCTGTCACTGGCTGTCAGTAACGCAATTGCATACTTCTCCTCTTAACTTCTCGAAAAGGAGTAGAGCCCCTGTCAGTGAGGCTATTGCATACGTGACGATGATACGTCTCCTCTTAACTTTGCGAAAAGGAGTAGAGCCCCTGACGCTATTGCATACGTCGGGATTTGAGCCCGTCATCAGGGACGGGGATGTGCACCATCTACGATGTGGGAGAAGAATTGAGAGCTTAGACCTTAACAATGAGGAGGAGGAATTGAGAGCTTAAAATGAGGAGGAGGAATTGAGAGCTTAACAATCAGGAGGAGGAATTGAGAGCTTAACAATCAGGAGGAGGAATTGAGAGCTTAACAATAAGGAGGAGGAATTGAGAGCTTAAAATCAGGAGGAGGAATTGAGAGCTTAAAATCAGGAGGAATTGAGAGCTTAAAATCAGGAGGAGGAATTGAGAGATTAAAATCAGGAGGAGGAATTGAGGACCGTAATGAGGAAAACCAACTGGGAGCTTAAGTCAGAGAGGGGGGGGGGGCCTTGAGGGCAGGGCCAGTGCGGAATCACTAGAAATAATCACACTAGAAAGAGAGGGATGTTCAACAGTCCCCGATTTGGGAGAAGATTTGGGAACTTAGAGCTTGAAAAAGGAGGAGGAGCAACTGAGAGCTTGGAGTAGGGAGGATCTGCGACTCTGCGAGATGCTTCAATTAGGGGGGAGTTGAGGGGAGGGCCAGTGATTTTTGGGAGTTGAGGGCAGGGCTAGTGATTTTTTTATTTTTTATTTTTTTCTTTGAAACGCCGTTGACTTTTTATAAGCGACGGTCAGATCTGGAGATCCCGGTGAGTGGCATCTTGCCTCAGGTCCAGCGCCGGCTGTCATAGGGCCTCGCGCCACTACTCTCCACATGCACGAAAGACGAAAAAGATGGCAATGCATCTGTCGTTGTTCTAGCAGTGGATTCAGTCTCATTTTGCACATTTGGAGAGTAGTGCAGCGAGGCGCATGTACAGCGGATCGGCAGATATCTCACAGCGGGAATGACAGCGGGCAGAACTTGGGGAATCCAGGGGTGTGAGTGGGAGGCGCTTGCTGCGGGTCCAGCCTCCGTTGTCGTTTAAGCGGCGGCGGGTCAGCGGAAATGACAGCGGAAATGACAGCGGAAATGACAGCGGGAAATGGAATTGACAGCGGAGTCATCAGTAAAATTGGCGGGAAGTCGACGATTAGCCCTGCAGAAGCGGCGTCGAAAGTGGACTCCGCGCCTGCTCTGATTTCAGCGAATCAGCAGAAATGACAGCCGCGGGAGTCAACGCAAGTTAATCTCCACGGGAATGCCGACAATCGGGCCACTTCCGAAACGGCATCGGAAGGGGAAGGGGGGGGAGAGAGGGGGGCGAAGGCGGGGGAGAGGGGGAAGCTAGCACGAAGGTAACGGAAAGGTGTGCGCAAGCGCTTACGGAAGGCGGGTGAGGGTTCAGGAAGGCCTGGACAGTGGATACAGCTTGCTGAGGGCTCAGAATCGTGATGAGCCGGTGCGAATCCGACGAAACATCAAGCAGGCTGCTTGGACGTGGACATCGTCTCAACACACGACAAGAACATGTGACTAGACGTACGGATTTCCAAACACGATAGGAGGAGGAGGAGGAGGCGGAGGCAGGAGGAGGAGAAGGAGGAAGAGGAGGAGGAGGAGGAGTAGCAGGACGAGGGGCTGCGCAAGAACATGTGGAGGAACGGTCGGTGCATTTGCTCCGCTTTCTCTTTGCTGATAGCTGAAGGGCTAGATGACGGTGATCATCATCTCCAGATCCCAATTGCGGCTAGCCGTTAATGACGGGAGTGAACACAATCAGAGTGTTGGAAAACTGCAGATTATTTGGGTCGTTCTTCTTTTTTTTTTTTGGGGGGGGGGGGGGGGGTTCAAAATCAGCTTCTGTTGGCGTTTTGTGTCGTTTTTTCCTAGTGTTATGGAGTAGGAGCTTAGTTTTTTGCTCTTCGTTTTGTTTAATTGCCTCATTTTGACGGGGCGACTTGAGACTCAGGGCATACTCACACTAACAACTTTTTTAACGTTGCCGGAAGATGGCCGTGATCGCAGTCAGATGCATTTTGGAAAGTCCTAGTGTGAGTATGCCCTCACGCTGTACATCATTTCCTCTGTTGATTATCGTCTTCCAACCTTGCCCCTCAACTGGTGTTTAGTCGACAAGTTCCCGGTAGGGCCGGTAGTCTAGAACGTTCTCCGGGGGGGGGGGCTACTCTTAGAGTCGAAATACTGTCCAGATATTGGTCAAATAACGACGTATCTTGACGGAATGTGACCGTAGATAGATAGATATAGATATGAGCTCCAGTTCTTCCTGGCCTAAGGAGCGGAGGCTCCTTCTTTAGTCGCCCTGCTACAAAGACGGGTGTGTATTGCTATTTTTTCCCTCTTGCTTTCTCCTGGTGAACTTCAAATTCATTTTTTGTAAGAGATGAAGTGTTTATAATCTTTGTCTTATTGTCCGAATTCGTCTCGAAGGTTGCCTTCCATTTTTTGTTCCCTCTTTGTTTGTTTGGAAGACACCCAGGAAGTATGTAGCAGCCTACAGCGTGGGAGTGGTCCCCAATCTGTAGGTTTGCCCACATGCTCTGTTTCTGTGTGTGTGTGTGTGTGTGTGTGTGTGTGTGTGTGTGTGTGTGTGTGTGTGTGTGTGACCACACATAAATGATAAATCATATTTTGGATAGTGAAAGACAATGCACCATACCTCCTCAACAGTCCAGGAGGAAAGCACGCATCTGAGTGAGTCAAGTCAACAGACAATCCATAGAGTAGCATTGCAGGTCCACTTGACATAATGGGCTGACAAGAATGTACAGCACGCGAATGCAGCGGAAGGTGTCAGAAACTTACTTAATATTGCATTTTGAGAGTTGAAGGGGTGAGTTAGGAGCTGCATCGGCTATGGAGTTCATGAGTGGGGAGGACATGGCGCCATGGGGATTGTGGAATAGTGGCCGATGTCTGGGTACCAACGGGAGTCTCCCAGTTATTCACTCTCTGCAGTGTTTTGCCCCTCAGTTTGTGAAGTACTTTTTGCTTGCCAATGCTGGTGTCTTATTACGGACTGGTGCTCCCCAGAATAGATGGGGCTGTGTGTATGTCTGTGTGTTTGAGGAAAGAAAGGGGGAAAAACAAGGGAAAAATTGTCTGGCGCCCCTGTAATTTCCATTATTTTGCCTCCGACGGCCCACATACCCTGTTGTGCCCCTCTGACCCGGATTCAAATTTCCCATAAAACCCGCGTGTCGACTGGGGCTGAAATATTTTTGTTGTGCCCCACCGTGGGCCACCGGTACACGTTCCAAGTTTGCAATACGCCCCTACCGTATAGCTGTTGAGTACCAGCACCAAAATTTTCCATATGCCCCTACCGGTAGGGTGCATGTTTTCAGCGCACCTTGTGGGTATGTGCATGGCGGCCACTTCATTTCTCTCTCTCTCTCTCTCTCTCTCTCTCTCTCTCTCTCTCACACACACACACACACACACACACACACACATGCACACAAACACAGGTCTCTCTCCCTCCCTCTCTCTCTCTCTCTCTCTCTCTCTCTCTCTCTCTCTCTCTCTCTCTCTCTGTCTCTCTCTCTCTCACACACACACACGCACACACAGGCACACACACACACACGCGCACGCACACAATCAGTTTTTGGTATGTTCGGTGTTTTTCCCTTTCTCCTATTTTATCAAGTACTTTTAGACAGTTTGTGTCCCTAGCTGAGCACCCTCTTACAGTGCCAAACAGTCGGTGGGTCGAGTGCCGGTCCTGTGAACATGACCGGCACTGGTCACTTGAAGGTGACCGGCCGGTCATGGGGGGGCCGAATTCTGTGAACGGCCGTTCACATAGTTTCTGCCCATGTGGAGGCTGGGACAGTAGGGATTGGGGCGGGAGGGGGGTGGTGCCGGGGAATTCTACAACCCTGTGCCTTAAAAATCAGAAGGGGGTGACACTGTGTGGATTTGTGGAAAAAAAAAAAAAAAGTTGGGATGGAGGTGGGTGGGTCACACACACCTTGCTTGTGCCTCGTTGCATGGTTGCCGAGCTGCTGGTCCGCTTGCCCGGTCGACGGTCGTCTCTTGCGGTGTGGTCGCCTTGCTTGTGTTGCCTTGTGCTTCACTACATGGTTGCCGTGCTGTTCACCCGTCTTCCGCTTGCCGTGTTGCTCCTTGCAGTCGTTTTGGCGCTGGGCAGCCGTGTTGCCTCTACTGCGTTGCCTGGTGCTCTGCAGGGTTGCTACATGCTGCTATGTTCCGCTTGGGGACAGGCTGCCTTCAACAAGGGTCAAAGGGTTCATAACCCAAACCATTAAATACAGAGATTCTGCAGATTGTCGAGGGTTCAGCCTCCTGATGAGTCGGTGCAAGTCCGACGAAACAATCTAATCATCATCAGTTTTCTTATTTTTTTCAGTCTTTCGATTTGCTTGCCAGTGGGACTTCTATTTTTTTCCGGTTTGCCTGCCTTGGTGTACTTGTGTGCCTGTTTCGTGTGCTTGCACGTTGTCTGCCCTCCTGCCTCCCCCGTGGTCTCCAGCCCAGTGCCGTACCCCCGTTCACCGTTCACGGGGTCTGTGAACGGAGCTGGTCATAGAGTTCACAGAGTTCACGACACGGGAGTTCATGGAGTTCACGGAGAGCGGTATTTTTTTGAGTTTTTTTTTGGCTGGGGGGCTATGTTTTTTTTTTATAGGAGGGTGGGGGACATCGAAGGGTAACTCCCTATAATTTTTTCAATTTTTTTTTTCATGAATAATATTGTTTTTAATTAAAAACGAAAAAAACAAAAATCAACCAGCCAAAATAAGCATTTTGTTTTGCTATTTTGGAGGTCATTTCGATTTTTTTTTTTTTTCAATGTCACCACGCTGTGGGGCTTGAGGCAAATGTACCTGGGGGAGCCCAAAAAAGAAAAGAAGAAAAAAAACACTCTTTAGTGGTTGGCCCGTTCACCGTGAACGGCCGTTCACAAAAAAAACACCAAATGAGCGGCCGGTCACGTTCACGAGTCCGGCATGACCGGCACTACTCCAGCCTATGCCTGCAGTCTGCCCTCCCGCCTCCCTCGTGCCCTCTCGCCTAGATGTCTGGCACGTTGTAAAACCATGTATGTACAAGGTAGCTTTATGAGTAGTAGTAGAGTGGCAGCATACAGCGTTAGTTTGGTTACGGGCGGGCCGGGTGTACCGTGGGTTCCATCGGGTGCATGGCAAGTACGCCATTGGATATATTGGACACGCACACATGTGCGCGCGCATGACATCCACTTCATTTCTCTCTCTCTCTCTCTCTCTCTCTCTCTCTCTCTCTCTCTCTCACACACACACACACACACACACACACACACACACACACACACGCGCGCGCGCGCGACCCACACTCTTTCTCTCTCTCTCTCTCTCTCTCTCTCTCTCTCTCTCTCTCTCTCACACACACACACACACACACACACACACACACACACACACACACGGTCAGTTTTTTGCGGCAGCGCCACAAAACTCATGAGGGCGTATCACACAGGGACCGGTGAAATGAGACTGGCTGTCCAGTAAGGGCACCGCGGAAAGTTGACTCCTTGCTGACAGGGGCATGCAGGAAAGTTCAGAAGGCCCAGGGTCCAGGGGCACGGCAGGGTAAGTGGGTCGTCGGAGGGGCGAGATGCAACATAATGGAATTACAGGGGCGTCAGATAAAATTTCCCAAAAAATAAATAAATAAAAGGCTCAAAAGAAATACAAGACAGCAAGGCACCAAAGGCAATGAAGAAATGGACATAGGCTGGAGCCTGGAGGGCATGGGAGAAACAAACAGCACAAAGAAACAAGCCAAAAAAATAGCAAGGCAAAAGCAAGGCAAACATTGAAAAAAAATGAGTTCCCAAAAAACGTTAAGGCCAGCAAAAAATAAAATTGATGATGATGAAAGATTGTTCCGTTGGAGTTGCACCAACTCATCAGGAGGCTGAACCCTCGACAATCTGTGGAATCTCCGTACTGATGGTTTGGGTCATGAACCCTTTTGACCCAATAGGCAGACTATCCCCAAGCGGAACATAGCAGCGGGCAGCAACTCAGTGAAGGACCAGGCAACGCTGCCAAGGCAACACACGAGCAAAGGACGCAGAAGGCAAGGCATGCGGATGGACAGCAAGGCAGCGAAGCAGCAAAGCACAAGGCAGCACCAACACTGCAGCCGCATCACACAGTGAACACAGCAACTTGCAAAGAACGACATGTGAGCAAGTGGGACGGGCAGCAAGGCAATGGCGGAGCACGAATGAGGCAGTCTACACATCCAACACGGAGCAAAGCAGCACATCACCTATTCACATCATGGGTGAACCCCGCAGACTGTTGATCTCCGCCACCCACTGAGCCAGTGAGCCACCCAGGCTGCTGGTTCCCACCACCAACTGAGCCAGGGAGTCACTTGGACAAACATCCGTCATCACCCGTAGAGCAGACAGGCATCCCGGACCGAGTGCTCCCCCTCTAAGAGTGCTTCAGGCACTCCAAACAAGGAATGGCGACTATTTGACACTGCTTGAACGTTCTCAGCTGGGCACACAAAAAGTAAGAAGAAAACAGGAGGAGAACAAACAACAAGAAAAAGACAGAGAGACATGGAACTGATTGTGTGTGTGTGTGTGTGTGTGTGTGTGTCAGTGTGTGTGTGTGTGGACAGCTGGCACAGTGTGCAGCACCAAAGAAGTACCGTGATTGCCTACCCATCACAGGTCATCCCAAACGGAGTGTTCCACACGCACGGAAAGAAAGAGCAGTATGGACTTTAAGTTTAAACTGCCAAATTGTGCCAATAACCCAGTGCCAGCAGAGAAGCTTGAAAAATAAGAAACAACGGCGGACGCGGCATGTTTGGAGTTCCTAAAGGCACGAAAAACAGGCCTCGGCGACTGTGTCAGGGCCTGAGTTCGAAAAGGCGTCCGTAACTCAGGCCGGCAGTGGTGTCAGGGCGGAGGTTTCATTAAGGCGGTTGTGTTTTTTTTTTGTTTTTTTTGGCTCGGTCGCACCGTGCTGCAGCTTCCAAAGGCAGTCGGCATTTTTCACAATAGCGGAAGTTCGGACAATCGTTCCTGATTGTTCGACCAGGATCCCCACAATAGTCCAGGATTCAGGACCTTCGTCCGTCCTGTCAAGTCTGAGGTGAGTTCCATAACAAGATCTGAATGCCTCTAGAATGTGCTCAGCATGTAAGAGACCATCTCAGAGTCTACCCAATACTGCAATAAAACTGGTGACATCATCAACGATCCTAAATCCAAAAACCTGTCGCTGATCGGCTACTAATGAGTGAAGAAAACGGTTCTCAGCGCAGGCACAAGGATATAGGCCAAGGAACAACTGGTGGATTTTCCAATCGGTATGCCAATAACCTGCTTCAGAAACTTACTTTCAGACCAGACGTAAGTGAATTGCAAGTCAAA